CTCAAGAGTGGCCTCTCCGCGGGGTTTGGAGGGCTATGGGCCGCAGCGACGGCGACCTTCTTTGAAAGTTTTTGGGGGCGGACCATCACCTTCCGCTTCGGAGTCTGCAGGGTCAGGGGAGGCACTGAGCTCTTCTACCTCGGAGCGGCCTCTTCGGGGGACCGCTGAATTCAGGACCTTCCCAGGCTCTGCTTTGGCTCAGGTTTTGATGGAAGCCATGGAGGAGGACCACTCTTCGGACCTCTCCCAAGGGCAACTTTTCTTCTATGACTTGTGTCAGAATGATCTCACTGCCTCCAGCAAGCAGTACAGGCTCACTGGGAGGCCGCATCATGGCCAGCAAGTTCTGGCCGATCTACGACGCATGCAGAACATCATTCATCGTCATCTTCTCATTCCGGGGGACTACAAGCCACCTTTGGCCAATGTTTATGTCATCTCACAGGTTTTAACCACCATCCTCCTCAACCCGGACGGTCAGAACCTTTGCTATGGCAACGCACCCTTCAGATGTTGGTGCTGGACCGGGGCCTTTGCTGAAGATTCAGCGAAAGCATGGGGATACACTCAACATGCGGTTCGGAGATGCCTCACAGAGTCTCAGGCAGTCTCTCTTGCTCAGGACCCTGATCTGGCTTCCCTTTGGGAGCGCTTCCACCGAGGTCAGCAAGCGGATGCAGCGGACTTCCTGGGGTTTCTGTGGGCCCATGCCGACTGCCCCTTCTATGGAGGGCGTTTCTTCCATCGGAAGGCCCATGGCACTGTGGAGGTCAGAGAGCAGTTTCCCCTGAATGTGATCTTTCCGGCCGGTGATCACCCTCTGCAGCTGGATGAGCTTATCTCCAACTGGGCGGATGAAGATGGGGGACAGTTTTTGTACGGAGCCCCTGATGCTTTGGTCATCCAACTCCAGAGGTTCCAGAAGCTCTCTGACGGGTGGACCAAACATGACAGGCCCCTCGACTTTGGCACTGACATCAACATCCCCTTCTCCGAGGATGGACACCATGTCCACATGGCCGCCTACCGGATTGTTGCTCTGGTCACCCACCAAGGATGTGATCATCACACTGGGCACTACCAATCCCTTTTGCTCATGGACAATGCTGTCTGGTTGGCTGATGATGGACAGTACCCGATCCCTCTGCCGGAAATCTCTCCTCAGCACCAGAGGGAAGTCCTGCAGATCTGGCTCGTCAAGGAACCTATGGACGAGCTAGTGGAAGACACTCAGGCGGCCCTCGATGAACCTCCTGTCAAGAAGGCAAGACAAGGCCACGACTCCCTCACCATCATCTTTGCCAACATCACCAACTTTGGGGCCAAGGTTCAAGATTGGACGTGGACACAGGGAGATGCTTTCCTCCTTCTTCATGAAACTCACATGGGGGAGGCGGCCACTTCTCGAGCTCTTCAATACTACACCAACAGAGGTTGGAAGGCGTATGGCTCGGCGGCACACCCTACGGGGCAAGGAGGCAGTTCGGGTGGGTTCTTGACGCTGCACTCCACCAAACACCTCACACATCAAGCCGCCGAATTCCTTCATGAGGGCAATGGCTGGACCGCGATTGGGTTGCAGAGGCAAGGCATGATGATCTTCCTCATTCAGATTTACCTCAAGACGGGAGAGACTTTGCAATCACACAGCAACTCCCTCATCCTTAGCCATCTCATGGCCTTCTTGCATCACTTGAGAGCTCCCTTCGTCATCGGCGGGGATTGGCAGAATGAGCCCGCTGCCCTTGCTGCCACCGTCATCCAGAGCAAGTTCAAGGCTCACATCCTCGACACGGGCGGATGCACCACGCTGCATGGCAGTCAGATCGACTTTCTTTTGGTCTCCAACTCTCTGCACGGGGCAATCAGATTGGAAGCGTCTTGGGAGGTTCCGTGGAGACCTCACTGCGCTCTGCAGGTGCAACTGGACTGTGACCAACCTGCACAAGCTGTCCAGCAACTTCAGCGGTTTCCGCCTGTCGGGAGAACCTTTCAGCTGCCTCATCAGTGGACCAGTTTCCAGGAGGACAATGGACCCTTCTACATTATGAACCACCTCATCACTGGTCTGGGCTCTGACCTGGCTCGATGGGCGACACAGACGGAGAAGTACATCACCCAGATGCTCCACAAGCCCACCCTGGGCAGGGGTTCCAACATCCGTCTGACACAAGCTCCACTTGTTGATTCCTCCACTTCACGCACATGGCTGCGGGGCTCGGTTGCTTTTTGGGAGAAGCTCAATGTCAGACTCAACGTTGTCCACCACTCAGGTCACCGAGGGGTCATGCGAGATCTCAAGACCATGTTGCAAGACGTCCCTCACTTTTGCTCAGAGGACTTCACTGCGGATGTCTTTGTTGCGCTCGTGGGGCAATGGCTACAGCATCCCACTACAGATCCTGGGGACATCAGAGCTCAAATCATGGAGCAGGAGCACCTGGCCCAGAAACAGGCCCTTCAATCTACCAGCCTGGAGTTCCACGAATGGCTCAAGAAGGCCCACCATAAAGGGCTTAGGGGCTTGTTCCGCAGCCTGCGGCAAAGGGATCAGGCCTGGCAACGGCCCTTCCAAGACCTTCCTGCCTTGGAGCGAATCACGGCTCGTGAGAAACAGTGGGGCGACATTTGGCATCCCCTCCAGGCCCCGGCCCAGATCAGAGGTCTTGATCAGTTGAGGGAGCTTGCGCAGCAAGAGGCGCTTTCATGGAAGGCGATTGACTCTTCGCTTCTTCAGAAGCTTTTGAGGCGCCTTCCCAACAAAGCAGCTGGACCCGATGGCATCTCCTACGACATGCTCAGGCATTTGCCGTACCCTGCTGTGCACAGGCTGGCAGCTCTTCTCACTGAGATGGAACGAGCGGCACTTTTGCCCACGCAGCTCACTTACACCAACATCGTCCTCATTCCAAAGTCTGCCCAGGTCGAGAGGCCCATTGCCCTGACATCCTGCCTCTATCGTGTTTGGAACTCTTACCGGAAGCATGACATCCAGCGATGGCAGATGACCTTGGACGATGAGCTTCCTTGGGACCAAGCAAGACCCAAGAGGGACTGCCTCTCCATTGCGGTCGGTCGTATGCTGAAGTCGGAGATCAAGAAGCACCAGGGCATCCACACGGTGACTTGTTTAGCTGACCTTTCATGCTTTTACGACACAGTCAACCTGGACCACATCATTGAACCCGCGGCGGAGCTCAATTACCCGCCAGTTCATCTCAAGCTTGCTCTGGACCTCTACTCTGGGCCCCGCCTGATTCAAGCTGAAGGCATAGCTGGGGACCCGAGGCACTACTCCCATGGCATATTGCAAGGGTGCCCACAAGCTCCAGCCATCAGCAAACTCATCCTCTACAAGCCGCTCAAGGCCCTTCAGCATGCTCACCCTGCGGTTGCCCTGCAAACCTGGGTTGATGACGTCTCCTTTGATGTCTCCGGCCATGACCCGGACTATGTGGCTCGGGAGGCCATTTTGGCATACCGAACACTTCGAGACCTCCTCACTGAAGCAGGATTGAAGGTCAACAAGGACAAGACTGGCTTCCTGTCCAGCAGCAAGGACACTGCACGGGCTCTCAAGCTTCACCTCAAAGAAGACGACCCGCAGCACCACAACGTTCTGAGGGATTTGGGAGTCGATGCAACAGCAGGAAGACACCGACGTGTCACTCAAGTCAAGAAGAGGTTTCTCAAAGGAAGGGGCCGCGCGGGCATTTTGCAGCGGTTAAAGCTCCAGAGGAACATCAGTCATCGCATCCACAAGAGTGCAATCCATCCGGTCATGACCTGGGGTGCCCAGGCGAACGGGCTGGCCCCACAAAGGCGGCAATACATCCGCGTCATGGCTGCCAGGAGCTTGCATCTGCAGAGATCTGGATCGGTGGATGTGGTCTTTGACATGCACCCCAACCACCCGGATCCTGGTGACTCCATCATTCAGCAGCATCTCCACTCCGTCTGGAAGATCTATCACTCTTTTGATGAGAGCACCAGGCATCTCTTTTGGACCAGTTGGAATGTCGCCTTGGGAGCTCTGCAGAAGGTCAGATACAGGTGGCAAGTTGTTTCAGGTCCCCTCCAGGCTCTACAAGCATACCTCTTGGACTATGACTTCGACCTTTCAGCTGGTCCCACGTGGCGGCGCACCGGCTATGGGGGGCATTCCTGACTGCGTCCTCAGTTTGGAGGACTGCTGGCCTGAGCTCCTCTTCAAGTTGCAGATTGAGTTTCGCTGGCAACGCCTTCTACGCCTGACCAGGTACGAAGGCTGCCACGACCTGGAAAGACCGTTGGATTGGCAGGTCAGTCTTACTCTGCAGAAGATGTCGGAGAAGAATGGTCCCGCCCTCAGGGCTTTCCATCAAGGAACTCTCCATGGCCAACAAGGCAACTGCCCTCTCTGTGGTGAAGACCTCACCTTCACACACTTGTTGTGGACGTGCCGCTTTTGGAAAGGAAAAGTCAAGGACCTTCCGGAAGAGTGGAAGACACGCCTGGCCGCGGGTACTGAACCAGAACTCTGGCAGCGAGGCATGGTGCAATCCATCTTCTACATACAGGAAGGAGGCATGGGCACTTTTCAGCATGAAGGACACTGGACTCCTGAGGCTGCTTTCGACATTCCGGCTGGCCATGCCATCTCTTTGGCGGTTGCTCCAACCTGCAAGGATGTCCGACACAAGCGCTTTGTCTTTGTCCTGTGCATGTACCAGGTCTCCACCAAGCGCAGGGTTGCAGCACTCAAAGGCATTTGCCCGGGGCAACCTACGAGGCGTAGGGCCCTTTTCTATGGCCTCAAGCATCTCGCTCTGCACAGTCAGGAGAAAGTCCATGTGGCCGTTTATGATCATGGAGTCTGGAAACTATGGCAACCCACGGCAGCTTTTGAGCATTTTCCTGATCTCTATCAAGGCCTGGACCCTGAGGACTTTGCCCAAGTACGGCCCCTCCTTTTCTCCAGGAAGGAGCAAGACACCACTGGCAACCGAAAGGCCTTCCAGGATGATGCAGATCGGGTGGCCCGTGCATTCGCCAAGGAGTCTCGAAATGAAGAGATCCTGGACCTTCAGAAGCACATAGACGAAGACACCAGAGATGTGCTTTGTGTTGCAGCAGCGAGGATGACCATCCTGCTTCAGGACAAGTCTCACTTCCTCCACCAGGCCAAGGCTGCAGCTTCTCCGCATAAAGTTCCTCTAGTTGAACAAAAGCGGGCTCTTTTGAGGCAATTGGAAAACCGGCCTGACCAGGGCGGACATTCCTGGCAAAGCTACCGAACAGGAGTCCGATGTGACCATTGCAAGCAACGTTTCCATGCCAAGAGCTTGGTGGCAGACCTTCGGGAGGCCCTGGATTCTTCCTGTGCCATGGCGGCTCCTCCTTCCCAGCCGAAGAAAACTCGGTTCCAGGTCATCGAGGAGCTCATAGCTGCCCAATCTGGCGTGCAGCCAGGTGTCCACCACTTGAAGCTTGACAAAGCTTACCTCCGGTGCTCTGAATGTGCTGGCTACATTTTGGCTCGATGCAATGAAGAGATCTTCACCAACTTCGTGAGTGGAGCCTGCATGGTGGGTCCTCTCGACCCCTCACTTTGGCGGGGTCATCCGTCACATACCATGAGCCGCAAGGGCTCAGTGGCCCGCTGCACAAGATGCGGAGGAAGCGGGAGGATCAAGAACATGGAGGTGGAGCTGAACGAGAAGCTCAGGCGGCGCTGCGAGCACCAAGGGTCAAAGGACCTACGGTCATGGTTCACCTGAAGCACGTATTTGCACGAAAAGAGGCGAACAAAAAAAAAAAATATATGTACATATTATATACTCTAACTAGACAACTATCAACTATCATCAACTATCATACGCGTGGCTTTTGGTTGATTGAAAAGGAGAAGACGAGAAGAGGTTGGTGAGCTCTCCTTTTCTTGGTGGGCCAGCATGGTGGCTTGCAAACAACAGCATTTTGGTTGAACAAAGTATAAAAGAACAATGGTACTTTCAGTACTTTCCCCAGAGAGCTCGCAACAAACATCCGCACCATGGGTTCGTTCAGGAGACTTCTCTGACATACCCTTTACATCCTTTTACCAACTCACCTGGTACCATCTGGGCCACCCGCAACAAGGGCCACACTGACAAATGCCAGGATTTTTCTTTATGACCATGACCTGGACTACTCTCGTTTTTGGTCGCAATTTCACGTGTTCGAGGTAAGTAGAGCGTGGTTGCTGGCTTCAGGGATTCTATAAGATTCTATACCTCTAGAAGTCCCGCGTCTTTTCATAGTGAAACAGAATCCTCCTAATCTGGTGCCAAGTCAGGCCATAACTTTTGACGTCCTGGACTTTTTGTTTGTCGGTCACCCTCCCCAGACATCCTCCGTCCCAAAAACCGCTGCCGCTTCGAGGCGCTCATAGTTCTCGGCCCGATGAGTGCCTTGGGGGAGTTTTCAGAGACGTCGGTTGAAGATCCTTGTGGTCTGACGGGTCAGACGACTTGGTTTGTTTCTTGGGTCTTTGGTTGTTTGGTTCTTGCTTGGTTCTTTCTTTGTTTTGGTCGAATAAAGGATGTTTCAAAACACCAACTCTTTCGGTTGGGGAGCGATGACGGTGCTTCTTCGCCTCAATGACGGTCGGTGCTATTGTCCTACAAAAGTACAGAATGAGGGTGGCTGGATCCTGAAGATTGTCCTACTTGGGGTTTCAGCCAAGTCCTCCCGACTTCCTGGCCTACAGACAGTGACTAGTCAAACGTCGCAGGGGGTGGGTCGCACCGGACACGGCAGTCGGTTGCAAAGGCAACTTTTTTTCTACAAAGTCTCGGCATCGGTTTCCTGTAAAGGAGTAGAGGAGCACTGAAAGGCTTGGGCTTTGTACTCGAAGATGGACAATGTTCTCGTGCACTGGCAAACAGGAGGATACCAGGATATCCCATAAGCGCACGACCAACTGTGTTATTTTTTGTGTAGGATGGACTGTCCAACTAGGTATGACAGTGATTGACGAATGTCATCCCAGGTCTCATGCCCCAGTAGTTCCAATCCTCAACATGAACAGACTAGTCATCACGACCTTGAATATCTTCACCTATATGTTCTTCTTTCTGACCCTCAGATATAACAAACTGGTGGTCGTGTCGCCCGTGCAGCATGAACACCTACGCTTCCATGAAATCTACGCCTCTCCCGTGCAAAACACCTGCGACCGTATCTCAAACCACTAAGTAGGATCCATTGGCTCGGTTCCAACGCAAACGGAAGCAACGTTCTTCTCGAAACTGCAGCTTCGGTTGGAAACATTGGTGTCTTTTCTAGTGGTTAGTGGAAGAAGAAGATCACAAGGAAACAGGGTGACAGGCCCCGCTGTCTATATCTGCATAGGAATCCATAATATATATATATATATATGAGCAACTATATATATTTATGTATATAGTTGTGCGGTGAAACTTAGAACATCGAAAAAAACTCCAAAATGACGTTTGGACGTCTTACATAGGAACTTAGAACATCATAAAACGCCACAACTTACAACATCCAGACCTTAAAATAAGATAATCCATGTAATGTAATGATCGGATGTTCTAAGTTTTGCCCGAAATGATGTTCCACATGTTCTAAGTTCATGTTCCACATGCTGCGCTCAGCTTTTTCTTCCCTTTGCTCTGTTCTGGTCTTTGTTTGGTCATGCTCTGTACGTGGAAGCTAAAAGGCTCCGGACGTGAGCTTCAAAGCGCCCACGGAACCTCAACAACTGCAGAAATCATACACGGCACCACGAAGGTATATATTTGTATATAGGTTTAAGTGATTACACCTGCAAGTCTACATTTATACATATATATATATACACATATTTATATGTATAAAACTTGACAAAATTCAACCTTACACTTTCAAAGCCAAGCGTCCCCTCATCATTTGCCAGTTTCTCTACCTTGTCAGGTAGAGACATGGCGCGTTAGGAAGGTTATGATCTGGCCTTTGTTGCCCTTCGAGCCAGAACTCAGGCATATATACATAGTATATCTATATACTGTCTATGAACTATAGTATCTATGGTATGTTCTATTTGTTGATGGTATCATGCTTTGCCATGCCATGATATCATGATATGGTGATATATACAAGCTGCTATCCAATGTTGATATATGATAACATGTTCTATGTTACGTGTTCACATGCAGACTCGGCCGAGTTATGTGACTTGTTCTGATTATATACTATCCTGGTATCATGAGAAAACTTTGTGCATTCATGGTTGATATATATATATATATATCTCACCTCGCTGTTTCTAAGTTCCTTGTTCAGCAGGGTATGTTGTTTTTTTTTTTTCTTTGACTATACACATAATTTGATATGTTCTAAGTTCCCAATGTTGGCATGTTCTAAGTTCAATGTTCCTTCCATGTTCTAAGTGTACATCCAAAAAAACTGACATTCCCAAACGATGTTCTAATGTTCTAAGTTTCACCGCACAACTATACATAATATATGTGTAGTTTGCACTTGTAGTCGGAGTGCACAGCGGAGATCTCACATTAAACTGCTGAGGTTTGCATGTGGCAATGGCGAATATCCACCAATGTACTTCAATAGTGGGGCTGGAGACGGACGAACCGCTTCCAAGACGCAGAAGTGCTACCTGCTACCTGTTTTTTTTTTGATTTCGATGTGCCGAGTGAATCCCCATTCCGGGCCTAGTTTTTGAAAGTTGAGAAGTAGCCAAAGGACCAAGTTCAAAAAGATTCAGTTACTTCAACAGACTAGTTTGTTTCACCTTTTAGGTCTCAGATGCCTAGGTTTCCCGCTTGGTTTTCCCCGCCTGTTTGTTCGGTTTCGCGAGGTCCGCCCGATCTGATGCGCTGGTCCGGACAGCCCAGGGGGGTGTGTTAGTAAACGGTTGGAGAAAGGGGCCGAGTACTTGGGGGCTTTGAGGGGTCGAAACCAGGCATGTTTTATGAACCAGACATGTCTATTTCGATGAACACGGACTGAATGACTGGTGGTCAGTGCTGAATGACTGGGGGTCTCATGAAAGTATCGCTTCAGTTTTCCTCAATGTCCAGGTAGTTTCTATTTTTAAAGGGTGCCACAGACAACATTGCTAATTACCGACCCATTTCACTAGTGAATACTATATACAAACTCTTCGCTGAAATGGTCCGTTGCAGACTAGCTGAAGTCATCGACTTTTATTTGTAAGACCCAGTTCGGTTTCAGAAAACATCGTTCCACGACTGATGCCTTATTTATCGCTCGAAGACTTCAAGACATTAGCAAAAGATGTGGAGAACATGTGATTCTGGTCTTGTTGGATTGGGCTAAGGCCTTCGACCGAGTGTCCCATCCACGCATGATGCAAGCCTTGGAACGATTTAATTTACCCATATTCAAAATCATTATTGCAAGTTTTCATAGCAACCTGTCCTTTCAGGTGAAACACGAACATCTCCAGTCGAGTGTGAAGACGCAAAGTTCCGGCATAAGACAGGGATGCCCACTATCCCCCCTTCTTGTTTGTTCTCATAATGATTGTACTTTTTTTTTTTTTTTCACGACATTGGTGTCAAACATTATAGAGATTTCATTGACTGCAGGCTTGACTCAGGCTTGACCATGTGCGCTTCAATGAGGTGCTTTACGCTGACGATACACTTTTGGTTTCCAAAAGTACGGCAGGAATGAAAAAGCTCCTCCACGCAATAGAAGAGGAATCGACGTATTATGGATTTACGCTCAACCACAAAAACATACAACGTTTTGGCAATGAACGGGCGCAACCTTATCCGTTTTTGCGATGGCTCACAAATGAGACATGCCGAGGAGGTCACCTACCTTGGCGGAGTCCTGACAAAATAAGTGAACATTGAGTCCGAAATTTCCAGCAGAATTGCTTCTGCTATGACAGCTTGGAAGAGTCTAGATATTTTCTGGAAAGAGGCGCAGTGCAGTTTAAATCCTGATATAAATTGCCATCATTAAATCAAAACTTCTCTATGCTCTTGAGACCCTGGAGATTCCAGCTGGTCTTCTTTCCCGCTTGGAAGCATTTCAACTGAAAGGTTTACGCAAGACTTAGGGCATGGCTCCCACGTATATAAATCGTGCCAATACCAACACAGAAGTTTTCAGAAGAGCTAATCTCCACATCTCCAGAAATGACCGTGGAAGTAAAATCGTTCATCCAAGA